AAATTTTGTTACATCAGGATCTAAAGTTTGATTTTTATGTGCGAAATCCGTAATTGAAAATTAGTAAAAAGGACAGTATTAATGTGACGAATTTTGAGTGATTATATGATATATGTTTTGATATAGGATACATTTTTCAAATATTTCTTTTTGCCACTTTTAGATTTTTATTGGTAAAACTCTCTTTTCAAAGAAATCTTTTCCATTTAAATTCTTTGGTACTTTTCCGTTTCGCCAGTGCAAGCGATAAAGTCATCAAAAATGATACAATTGATGCAAAATGGAATATTCCATCTAGTAAACTTTTATTACCTTATTTTCAAACAAGTCGCGGTCTTTCAGTAACGTATTTTTCATAATACATCAAGAATAGATGAAAAATCAATGAGAACTAACTTTTAATAACATTTTTTATGTGTATAAGAGACCCAGAGGTCGAGTGGTAGCGTATTGCACTTCAACACCATAGGTGTCCGGGTTCTATTCCCGCACTGCGCAAATTCGACTCAGGCTTTCATCTCTTCAGTGAGTTGATAAATGAGTACCAAGCTTGCTAGGGGACTAAAACACTGGGGATTTCGCTTCAGACTGACCACCTGATTGGGACACCAGCTCATGCATCTCAGCGCCCAATGGTCACGTATACTGGGATGGGCACAGTAGGCCTGGGCTCTCATGGGCCGTTGAGAGTATATTGTGTGCTGTCGCCTATAAAGTCTACTTGGCGAGATTTTCCTCTGCAAAACGGAAAAGCACCAATTTTTTTTATACCTTCAGAATGTACCTTAATAATATCTCCGTTGAACTTTTTACTACGTTATTTTCAAGACAAGTCGCGGTCTTTCAGTAACGCCTTTTTCAAAATACATCAAAAATGGATGAAAAACCAATTAGAACTAACATTTAATAACATTTTTTTATATTTATATAATGAGTTGTCACCAATAAAGCCTGCTTAGCGAGATTTGCCACTGCGAAACCGAAAAGTACCAATCTTTTTTATACCTGCAAAATGTGCCTTAACATTATCTCCGTTGATACTACATCCTGCATACGTAATTAAAAAAAGATTCTTACAACAGAGACTAACTATCCTTAAGACGGTAAAAGTTTCTAAACAATAACTCACTTGCAACAAACTTTCTTCCCACAACATCTGCACGCCACACCCAAAATGTATACGGTTATGATTAATTAGTTTTAACTTTGTATACCATTATAAACATAACTTACTTTATGGACACCATCTATATACTTAATAGCATTTTTGGCTCTTCCGAAATAACTTTAAACGACACATTCGTTACTCTATTGAATTAATGAAACTAAGTTTTGCGAGGATTTCGTGGAAAATCCAAGATACCTTTTATTTAAATTACATGACAGCTTCTGACAGCTGAATCGTTATCATGCAAATAACTCGCATTCATAATCTGGTTTAATCTAGGCGTATAATAAATGTAAACAGAACGCCTCCTTAAGAAGGATACTGACATTTTATTTCTAGATGGCTATTATGCGTTTTCAATCAAAGGTGGTTTCAAGTTGGAGATGAGTGGGTGCAAGTTGGTTATTAAGCAAAATGTAAGTTTTCGAGCCGAAATGAAAAGAAAAAAAAGTTTGTAATGAATAATAATAATAATAAAAAGAAGTATCTTGTGTATATGTGTGTTCGCGTGTGGAAAATAATCAATAAGGAAAGAACAGAAATCATGATAAATGTTATGCACTGCTAAGCATCTTGATAAGATTACAATTTTTTGGGGAAAAAAATAGTATATATCTTGTTATAACCATTTTAACCATGCAATTGTAGGGAAACTGTAGACATACATCTCTGAAGATCTTTGTTCTTTTTACTGAATTAAAATGATTACCTCTGAAAATTTTTTTTAGTTAAAAATTGTGCCCCTTTTGAAGGAAATGCACATATTTTTTAAATGATAGTTTTTTATACTGTCGTAAAACTAACTACAAGTCAGCTTTTTTTTTTTTATAAAATTAAAATTCATTTCATTCTATTTTTTTTTTACGTAAGACTTTTTATTTTTTTTTTTTTTTTTTACAGAGTAGTAACTTCTAATTTGGATATTCAACTATAACTGGGCAAATTATAATAATTTATAGTAATTTAAAATAAGTGTAATATGGTACATGTATATATGCGTGCGTGTGATTTCGATGTTCATCAAGAAAATAAAAGCCGTTTATTTATACAAAATGTAAAACACAATGTTTTTTGTAAATATTAATTATGCTTCATACTCTCTTCTTTTCATATATATATATATAATTACTACCGTTACTATTTTCCGAATTTCCATGTTATAGCTCTACCACCAGCTGCCTGATCACTAAGTCAGGTTTTCACTGCACTCAGACCAATATTCCGGACCACGCTCTTAGCGATTATCATTTTTTTCCTAGCCTAAAAGGTTTCTGGGCAGTAAACGTTTTGGAAGTGATGAAGAGTTAGAGAATGCAGGGATTATCTGGCTTATATGATCATGTTAAATTCTCTTAAATGCTTGCGGCTGAAGAGTATGGCATGGGAATTCCAAAGTTCGTGAACATATTGTCAAATGTTTAAATGTAAGAAAGGATTAGGTAAAAAAGGGAAGGAAGTTTCTGGTTGTGATTGATTTAAAAAAAAAAAAAAAATACTGCGTTTATCATTTAGTATAACTGCTTGGTTTTTATTTGCTAAAGGATTTCTTCTTTTTTTTCATTTATTCAAAATGAGTTGAAACAGATATTCCCTATAAATGTCTAAAGGAGTGGCTTGTGTATTTTTAATAACGATTGAAAATGTTTAGCTTGTCGGCAATCTTATTTATCCTTTTTAATAGACTTCGTGGAGATAATCCCTTCACAATCTAAAATCTTTCCTAACACAGCATTCTTATCTGTGCAAAAATTTTACAACTTAAAAACTAAACATCATTAATAACTTCACTTCAGTATAAAGAGTTTTTTCTTCATTCCTTGAGAAATAGATTTATGTACAGATAACTTCATAATAATGAAACTTTGATATCACTATATATTTTAAATAACGATTAAAAACATATAGCTTCATTAGAGAGTATATATTTCGTCATCCATCAAAATTCATTTCACAATCAACCTTTGCGATTAAATCTTTCTGAGCATCATCCCCCCCCCCCAATTTTCACAAACCTTACAAGAAACCTTAAAAAAACTAAAAACTTCATCATCTCACAGATCATTTTATTTTTTTTAAATTTTCTTCCCTTCCTTCAAATTGATTTCACGTAGACAACCCCCCTTAGAAACCAAAACAATCTAAAACTTTTTTTAACATCCTCATCAACTATTCGAGTACCCGCCTTCCTCAACAACCTTATTACCTAATCTGTTTTTCTCAAAACACCCAAGACGCTCATCACTTACCACAAAAGACTTAATCAGTTATGCATCACATTCTAAACCCTTACATCCTAATCCCCCTGCACCCCCTACCACCTCCTAGGAGCACTTTTCACGCACACTGATCCCCAACGCGAACCCCACATCAAAACCAAGTAATAGACAATCCGAAAAGTTATTAATTTTTTCGCGTTTTTTTTTCGCCCCCAATTTCCTCCCCTCCCTTTTCGTGCACGGGTGATCACTAAAGCGTGGGCCGACACACCGCCCCCAATAATAAAATAAAGTGAAGTGAAGTCACGAGCCACGCGTGTGCTGGGGTGAAAGGCCAGGAAAACCGGTCTAACGAAGTGTTTAGATCTGGAGGAAAAAAAGAAAAACGTACGAAAATTGATGCAGCGTATTACGCTAAAAGCCGGAGCAAAGGTTGGATAAACTGCTGATTCGCAAGTTGACTCATTCAATAGGTTGTTTGGGTGATTAGATAACCGTATGGTCAAATGTTTCCACCAAAAGGTTATGTTTGAAAGACCTATTGAGTTAGAAACTGAATAACTTATATTTTTTCCCCTACAAGTAGTTTTTCCTTTGATAAAGAACCATGTGCAAATAAAAAGTGGAAATGATTATAGTATTTAAGTAAAACGGAGCAATTTTTACATAATTGTAATCACAATTCATTAAATATTCCGCACAAGTTTACGTCTAAAATATAAATATAATAATTTAAAAAAAAATACGATTTATTTAATAACTGTATCATTATTTTTATCGTTTGGCCAGTACAGGAGAAACGGCAATCTTGTGGAGAGTCAAATATAATATTTTGAATTGAAAAGAATTTTTAAAAATAAAATTTTTCAAAATTATTTTTAAAAATCTTTTTAATTTATTTTTTTAATTATTCTTTTTTTTATCACCTAACATTTTTTTTTCATTATTACATATTTCGTATAATAAATTTAAATTTTTCAAGAAAATTAGAAAATTTTTCATGTACTGTAAAATTTGGCTTAAAATGTGGACTTTTAACAAATAAAAAAAAAAAAAAAAATGAGATCGAAATTCACGGATGCGAGTTATACACTGGGCGTAAAAATGATAGCTGTAAAAATTAAAAAGAAATGAGCATAAAAAAAATTAAATTGCTGTATGTATCGAAATAGTGTTTATTTAAAAGAAATGACATACCTAATGAACTTTAAAAAGTTGTAGTTCTAGAAGTATACTATTTTTACAAAAGCCTGGGATAATATCTCGATTAAATTACTTCAAAACATAAGAACATTCCATACGTACATTTCAGGTTTCTTTGTCAACAAGTAATATTTTAAGAAATGTCAATTCCTGCTTAGGTCAACAAATAAAAATTTTATTTTAGTTTCTTTTCATCAAATATTTACAGTTAATATAAATATATATATTAATATGACAGAATCACAACATTAATTGACAAAATAGAACGCGATTTTCCTTTTACCTTTCTATATATGACGTTGGACTATTTTTTGATTATTTGTTTGCTACAGTTTATTCATAGATTTTTTTAAAAAAATATTTTAATAAAATAGTACAGTTAAAAAGAAATCACATTCTCAGAGAAACTAGGTCATCCATGGTTGGATTCAAACCCACGACCTTTGGATTAGGAGTCCAACGCGCTATCCATTGCGCTACAGGGACAAAACGAACACTTTTCCTTTCTATATATTTCCTTTCTATATTATACGGCGAATATACCTAAAAATAAAAAGTGCAGCTTGAAAGTATATGCGCAAGTTATACGCTGGATTTTACAGTCATTAACTGATTTCATGAAGTATAAAAAAATTTCTTTTTAAATAATCCATTATTTTTCCACCACAGAGTGTTGTAGCAAAAGTATTGTCAGAATGCTCTTACCGGAATAAAGAACAAATAAAATCTAAAATATCATCAAAGCAAAAAGGAAACCTATTCCTCACGATTTCAGTTCACGTTTTGCAACTCTCTTTAAAATCGCTCCATCTTGGAGCTGTGAGGTAAATACAGACAGATAAAAAAAGATTCCACGTTCACATAAAAATAGATATTTCTTGAATGCGGACCCTTTATGTTCCGTTAGAATAACAACATGATTTCAATTTCGTGGAGTCCAATTTTCGCACGCATTTTTTTCCCTAAACCTGTTATTTTTCATTTCCAAAGAAAAGGGATGAAAAAAAAAATAAGTGTTGATATTCCTGGGCGTTGTATTTCATCTCCCCCGAGGGCTCAGAGAATTTTGCCGGGAAATGGAAGGTTTGGGTTCGTGTTTGTGTATATCTCTTATAACAAGAGACAAATTTCCATTTCCCTAAGAGACCCGGGTTTCTTTTGTTTTTTTTAGTTTCAGAAATGTGAGAAAGGATGTGGATCAAGTCTTCATTGGCAAAGAACAAGTGTCTTGCTTGTAGAAAGAACCATGGCTTTGATTCTTTCGTCTGAGGAGTAAAGCGGTGTTTTTCTTTACGACCAAAAATGGTGATTTTTCAATTTACTTAATTTGTTCAAATGGAAGGGAAGGAATTTTAGGGGAGTTTTATGTCATCAAGAATAACTTCGGGGTGCATTCTTGTTGAGGATTTGGGAATTCAAATCGCGTGAATTTGATAGGTGCAAATTGCTATATCTTAAATCAGGAGTGACCAACCCGTGGCACAGCTGAATTAAAACAGTAGCACGTGAAGATTTATTGAAAAATTTAAAAAAATTTGAAAACATAATAATATTTTTTTTTCCTTCTATTTTATTCAAATGTGGTTGTTCCAGACAAAACAAATCCTGAAAATTTATTTGAAATACAATTAATTGAATTACAATGGGAAATTATTATGTAGGAAAATAGTCCCTCATTGTTGTATGTTCTAGATTTCCAGAAAAAAAGAGCACTTGTGAGATTTTGGAATTCAAGGCAGCGTGTTTTAAAATATGTGGAAGAAAACAATGAATTGTCCAGTGAGTGCTTGTTTCTCAAGAATGAAGATAGACTTTGAGATTTAGTTTCTTAGAATATACTATATAAGGATGATTCCATTTAATTGTTTATAAGAATTAAGTGCTGATTGATTCAAGAGTGCTGTCTTTTTTCAATTCCTCTACTATTAGCTCACACTCTCTATATATTTATCTTGTTGGAATTTTCAATCTTTAATAAAATACATTTTAAAGCACTCAGTTGAGCTGAAATTTTATATACATGATTATTTTGGATGACAATACAGTGATTTAATTTTAATTAATAAAAATTAATTGATTAAAACTAATTATTCAAAGAATTGCAAATACAGCCACGTTGGCATCATTCTTGGCGACTTGTGTAAAAACTTGGAAAGGTTTTTTTCTCACATTTTAAAGCGCTCATTTGAGCAGAAATTTTCTATACACTATTGTTTTGGGTATAAATACGATAATTTAATTATAATTAATTAAAATTAATTGACTGAAACTAATTATTTAAATAATTACAGATACAACAGCCGTGTTGGTTTCATTTTTAGCGACTTGGGTCAAAACTTTAAAAAAAATTTTCCTCACATTTTATAACATTCATTTGAACTGAAATTTTATATACACGATTGTTTTGGATGACTATACGATACTTTAATGATAATTAATAAAAATTAATTACCGCTTAAAGTTGTGATTCTGTCCTATGTATATACATATTTAAATAAACTGTAACTATTTAATAAAAAGTAGCTAAAATAAAATTTTTCTTTGTTGATTTAAGTAGGAAGTGGTTTCTCTAAGTAGGAAGTGACTAACTTTTTTTTACATTACTTGTTTAGATTTAAAGCACTTCGACTTAATGTTGTATCTTAAAATTTGGATCTATTTCTGGTTACAAAATCCAGTGCTCTTCACGTATAGTTTCACCAACACGAAGCAAATGATAGGCAAGTGTATTTTGATAGTTTTCGAAGTTTTGGCTATAATCGATGAATGCTAAGGACAACTGACATTTGAAAGAAAATGACCCAGTACTCATACCATTACATCCCCAACACCATTTGTCAACTCTTTTCGTAGATCGCGCCAATGATATGAAAATGCATCTTGTTGCATTTGCCATTCAAACGATTTTCACCAAATGATTCACTGTTTTGACCCACCCTATTAAATGTTGTTGTAGTGTTATTTCAAACATGGCAGTCGAGCCACCATAAGGTTTGTCCTCCAACTGCATTTTTAATAAGAGATAGAGCATAATTCACATTTGCATCCAAGTTTTTAAGGCGACAATTGTTGCCTAAACGGGATTTTCGTTTAAAATCGTCACTACAAGCCAAAACTTGATAAATATCTCTCGTTCCTGTATTTTAATACAGTTATAATTTCAAGAATGATCTTGGGATTTGTTCGCGCAATTCCTTCTGCTAGAATTCATTTGACTTTGCCTTTTTGTATTAACATAAAAGCAGTAACCCACTTTTCTTTGTGAAATCCGTTATCACATTCTGCGACGTCATTTTGTAAATATAAAAGATCATAATTTAAACAAAAAAGGAAAGGTTTTAAAACTAAAAGTATTCACCTGTAACTGGTAAGATGTTGAATTAAAATGAACTTTTTAAAGTTTTCATTTCAAAATTGCTGTTTTTGCATAAATTGCTATCATGTATTACGCATCGAATATATTTAAAAATATTCCTTGTAATTAAAAAACAAATGGTATCAGTAATTGTTTTTATTTTGTTTAAGTGAATGCATTTGTTCTGAATGAGTAATAATTATTTTTATAAATTATTTTAATACATATCTTTCAATTCTTTTATCACATCATATATAACAATTATATATATATATATATATCAGTAGCGCACACAAAAATTTTTCAAGGGAGGGGTCCAGGGTTGAAAGTCCACCATTTTGGTATCATGCTCCATTATATCACCCAGCATATTCTTTTGATTTTGTCGATTTTCGGGAACAAAAACAACACAAAATTAATTATTGAATAAATAATTAGCATTAATTAATAAAATTAATTATTAATAACAAATACATAATTAAATTTTACGTAATATGTAC